AAAGAAATAATTTTTTTTAGTTTTTTATCATATTATTATTTTTTTGCCATGTTGTCTTCCACGCGAATTAATATTTTGACGTGTCATCCTCTTACCGTGAATTAATAGTACACATGGAGAGATTTTTAATAGAAGGACCAACTTAAGGTAAAAATGGTAAACAGTAAGGATTAAGTTAAAGATTTTTTGAGTTGAGGGACTCAATCAGAAGTTTATACAATAGTTGAGGGACCAAAAAAGGAGTTTAACCTTTACTAAAAGAAACGGAAGTTTAAAGTTAATTATCATTGAATTCTTTTTTTTTTTAAACTTTATCGCATAATATCATCATGTAGGAAAATAATGGGTGCACACCCGGATCCCACACCCGGGTGTGCACCCCCCATATAAACAAAAAAAAAGCCCATCACCTTGTTCAACTTTTATTTTTTTTTTTATGTGGGAGGTGTACACCCAGATGTGGGATCCAGGTGTGCACCACACACTCAGGTGTACACCAATCATGGTCCCATTACGTAATATCTAGAGATTGTAGGACTTAATCTAAGGAATTGTGGTTTATTTGACAAAAAAATTTATTCTTTACCTTCAAATTTTATTCTTTACCTTATTTACCAAGGTTTGATTCTTTATAAATACTAATGAAAAAGTAATCTCTTATAAATTTTTAATTTTGACTTGGATGATATGCCTTTAATTGAACTAAAAAAAATTTAGTCTTAAGATATGTATAAGTTGATTACGGAATTCTTAAACCAAAAAACCAAATTATAAGATATATATATGATTAGTGATATACTAAATACACAATAACACATCATTGTTATGCATTATTAAGTGTTTATAAGAGACAGGTTTTTTTTTTTTCCTATCTCAACAATGACATTCATCACCATTTTCCAAGTTGCTCTCTAATGTTCAAGTTTCTATTCAAACTGAGGCTACAGCTCCTAAGTTAGTCATATTCCTAAAGCTTTAATCAATTTTGACACTTTTATTATACAAAATACATCCTAACTGGGACATTTAGATAACAACCATG